TCCGTCTGCGGTCTTCTTTGCCCTTCCCCAATCTTCATGACTTTGCACTTGGTGGGATTGAACTCCAGGAGCCAATTGCTGGACCAGGTCTGCAGCCTGTCCAGATCCCTTTGAAGTTCTGCCTGGTCTTCGATCGAATGAATTCTTCTCATCAACTTCACGTCATCTGCAAACAGGGACGCCTCGGAGTCTATTCCTTCCGTCATGTCGTTCACAAATACCAGAAACAGCACTGGTCCTAGGACTGACCCCAGTGGGACCCCGCTGGTCACAGGTGCCCACTCTGACACCTCGCCGCGTACCATTACTCGCTGCTGTCTTCCTGACAAGTATTCCTTGATCCATTGTAATGCCTTCCCTGTTATCCCTGCTTGGTCCTCCAGTTTTTGCACTAATCTCTTGTGTGGTACTGTGTCAAACGCCTTCTTGCAGTCCAAGAAGATGCAATCCACCCACCACTCTCTCTCTTGTCTTACTGCTGTCACCTTGTCATAGAACTCCAGTAGGTTTGTGACACAGGATTTTCCATCCCTGAAACCATGTTGGCTGCTGTTGATGAGATCATTCCTTTCTAGGTGTTCCACCACTCTTCTCCTGATAATCTTCTCCATGACTTTGCATACTATACATGTCAGTGACACTGGTCTGTAGTTTAGTGCTTCATGTCTGTCTCCTTTTTTTAAAGATTGGGACTACATTTGCTGTCTTCCATGCCTCAGGCAATCTCCCTGTTTCGATAGATGTATTGAATATTGTTGTTAGGGGTACACATAGCACCTCTGCTCCCTCTCACAGGACCCATGGAGAGATGTTATCCGGCCCCATTGCCTTTGAGGTATCTAGCTCACTCAGAAGCCTCTTCACTTCTTCCTCGGTTGTGTGTACTGTGTCCAGCACCTGGTGGTGTGCCCCACCTCTCCGTCTTTCTGGAGCCCCTTCTGTCTCCTCTGTTAACACTTCTTTGAATCTCTTGTTGAGTTCCTCACATACTTCACGGTCATTTCTTGTTGTCTCTCCTCCTTCCTTCCTTAGCCTGATTACCTGGTCCTTGACTGTTGTTTTCCTCCTGATGTGGCTGTGTAACAGCTTCGGTTCAGATTTGGCTTTCGCTGCTTTTTCGTTTTCATATTGTCGTTGGGCCTCCCTTCTTATCTGTGCATATTCATTTCTGGCTCTACGACTGCTCTCCTTATTCTCCTGGGTCCTTTGCCTTCTATATTTCTTCCATTCCCTAGCACACACACTTGGTGTGTGTGTGTGTGTGTGTGTGTGTGTGTGTGTGTGTGTGTGTGTGTGTGTGTGTGTGTGTGTGTGTGTGTGTGTGTGTGTACTCACCTAACTGTGGTTACAAGGGGCCAGATCATAGCTCCTGGCCTCACCTCTTCACTGTTCGCCGCACTCTCCACTCTCTCCCTGCTCCATGAGCCTTATCCTACCTCGTCTTAAAGCTGTAATATAATAATAATATAATATCTTTATTTCTACAAGTACATGTACAGGATACAAAGTTCTAGCTGACAACACTGACATACTACTACACAGAAAGTCGCTTGTTATGCTGAGTATTTAGGGCAAATTTGGTCACTCGACTGACACCCAGGTACCCATTTTACTGATGGGGAACATAAACAACAAGTGTAAGGAAACACGCCCAATGTTTCTACCCTTGCCAGGAATCGAACCAGGACCCTCGACGTGTGAAGCGAGAGCTATGTATGGTACCTACCTGCGCCACCTCACTTTCCAGACTATTCCATTTCCTGACAACTCTGACTGAAAAAATCATTCCTAACATCCCTGTGACTCATTTGAGTCTTCAGCTGTGTCCATCTATGGAACATCCTGTCTTTGTCCACCTTGTACATTCCTCTCAGTATTTTATATGTCGTTATCATATCCCCCCCCCCTTCCTCCATCGCTCCTGTCCTCTAGTGTCGCCAGGTCGAGTTCCCTTAACCTCTCCTCGTAGGACACTCCCCTTACCTTCGGGACTAGGCTCGTTGCAAGCTTTGCACTTTCTCTAATTTCCTGACATTCCTGACTAAGTGTGAATTCCAAACTGGTGCTGCATACTCCAATACGGGCCTGACGTACACGGTGTACAATGTCCTGAATGACTCCTTACTAAGATGTCGGAATGCTATTCTAAAAATTCGCCAGTCACCCATAATCTGCAGCCGTCATTTTCCTTGAGGTTTATAGTCTTTGGCCCCTTGACCGTGCTCTGTCTGCAGTCTTCTTCGTCCTTCCCTGATCTTCATGACTTTCCACTTGGTGGGGTTAAACTCCAGGAGCCAGTTGCTGGACTATTCCTGCAGCCTGTCCAGAACCCTCTGTCGTTCTGCCTTATCCTCCTCCGACTGAATTCTCCTCATTAACTTCACATCGCCTGAAAACAGGGACACTTCTGAGTCTATTCCTTCCGCCATGTCATTCATATATACTAGAAATAGCACCGGTCCCAGGACTGATCCCTGTGGAACCCCCTCGTCACATCTCGCCCACTATGACACCTCATCACATACCATGATTCGCTGATGCCTACCCGTCAGATATTCTCTGGTCCATTGCAGTGCCTTCCCTGTTATCCCTGCCTGGCCCTCCAGCTTTTGCACTATCTCTTGTGTGAAACTGTGTCAAAAGTCTTCTTACAGTCCAAGAAAACGCAATATACCCACCTCTCTCTCTCTCTCTCTCTCTCTCTCTCTCTCTCTCTCTCTCTCTCTCTCTCTCTCTCTCTCTCTCTCTCTCTCTCTCTCTCTCTCTCTCTTTGTCTCTCTCTCTTGTCTTACTACTGTCACCTTGTCATATAACTCCAGAAGATTTGTGACACAGGATTTCCCGTCTCTGAATCTGTGCTGGTTATTGTGTGTGTGTGTGTACTCTCATATTTGTGGTTGCAGGGGTTGAGACATAGCTCCTGGCCTTGCCTCTTCACTGATCGCTTCTAGGCTATCTCTCTCCCAGCTACATGAGCTTTATCATACCTCTCCTTAAAGCTATGTATGGATCCTGCCTCCACTGCATCACTTCCCAGACTCTTCCACTTCCTGACAACTCTGTGACAAGAAATACTTCCTAACATCCCTGTGATTTATCTGAGTCTTTAACTTCCAACTGTGACCCCTTGTTGCTGTGTATGTGTACTCACCTAGTTGAGGTTGCGGGGGTCGAGTGTGTGTGTGTGTGTGTGTGTGTGTGTGTGTGTGTGTGTGTGTGTGTGTGTGTGTGTGTGTGTGTGTGTGTGTGTGTGTGTGTGTGTGTGTGTGTGTGTGTGTGTGTGTGTGTGTGTGTGTGTGTGTGTGTATGTGTGTGTGTGTGTGTGTGTGTGTGTGTGTGTGTGTGTGTGTGTGTGTGTGTGTGTGTGTGTGTGTGTGTGTGTGTGTGTGTGTGTGTGTGCTCACCTGTGTGTGGATGCATGAGTCGTGTCTCGGCTTCTGGCCCTGCATCTCAGTGGGTATATGTGTACTAGCCTAAATATGATTGCAGGGGGTCAAGTTTCACTTTTCAGTCCCATGTTTTTGCTAGCTGCTACTGGGTTCACTCTTTCCTGCTTTGAGGAGCCTCTTCTTAAAGTTGTATATGGATCCAACCTCTGCCACTCCACTGTCCAGTTGTTCCACTTTCTGACCATTCCAAGGCTGAAGAAATACTTCCCAACATCCCTGTGACTCATTTGTTTTCAGCTTCCAATTGTGTCGCCATGTTCCTGTTTCCTGTCTCTCGAACCAACTGTCCCTTTACACGCTTTTAATTTACGCCTCGGTATTTTGTACATTATATTATAACCCCTTGTCATTAAGGGAGCTAAATTTAATGTCATTAGATTTTGCTCCCTTAATCTATCCTCATAGCCCGTACCTCTTAGCTCCAGGACTAGTCTCACTGAAAACCTCTGCACTTTCTCCAATTTCTTTTCATGGATGATCAGGTGGGGGTTACTTAGGTTCCTGAACGATAATCTAAGATTTGCCAGATTCACACTTGTTGCAGTAGACATCCGACGGATGTACGCCTCAAGTACTATTGCCCACAGGATGGGTATAATACATAATGAAAATATTAAATTAACTGGGCGCCTCAAGCGATATGATCAGTACATTGATTACCCCGAGTTCTTTCTCCTTAAGTGAATTGTGCAGCCTTGCCCACATATCCTGTACTCTATTAGTTTTCTTCTCTGTCCATCCCTAATGTTCATAACACTTTCTGGGGTTAAATTCCAGTAAGAACTTTTCAGACCAGACCTGCAGCCTGTCCAGATCCATTAGTAGTTTTTCCTGGACCTCACCTGTCTGTATTCTCTTCATTAGTTTCACTTCAACTGCGACCAGGGATACCTTTGACTATCTCTTTTCTCACGTCATTAATGTACAACAAGAAATATTAGCAATCCTAGTAAACCCCGCTTGTCACACGCATTCATTCTGACACCTCTTCTTGGACGGTCACTCGTCATGTCCTTCCTGTGAGGTGTTCCTTGATCTATTTTAGTGCCTTCCCTGTTATTTCCTGGTTGTTGTTAATGGACTCGATCCTTTTATATGTGCTCCACCACTTTTCGTGTTAAACTTCTCCATAACTTTACATATTTTGAAAGCCAGAGATACCAGCATGTAGTTCACTGCTGCTACCTGTCTGTCTCCTTTCTTAAATACTTTGACTGCATTTATTGTCTTCCACACTTTGGTAATTGCTCTGTGTTGCTTGATTTGTTGAAGATTGTGACTAGTGCCACACACATTGCTTCTCTCCTGTCATTCACGACCCTTAGAGATATATTATCTGGTCCCATGCTCTCAAGGTGTCCAGCTCGCACGATACTATCCTTACTTCTCCTACCATCCTCCATTCTCTGTTTGATACTTACGGGTTTAGCTCTCCTTCGTTAATGTAATACCTTTTAATTTAATTTTCTATATTTTTTTAAGGAGTAACTATTTTCTTCTGGTTGCACAGCGTTCCTGACCCAGGGGTCAGGTGTGGTGGTCAGCCTGGTGACTTTTGGTCTGTACTCGTGGGTGGAAGGGTCGGCCCTGGAGCCATCCCGGGTATTTTCCGGCCTGGCACTCTTCAACCAACTCACAGTGCCACTCTTCATTCTCCCCATCATCGTCTCCCACACCATCAGGGCCAAGGTGAGTCTGGCAATGTCACCTCCAGGCACTCTTACCTACCATTACCTGCTTTAAGAGTAACTCTTACTCTTCCTAAATTATTGTTATTATTATTATTATTATATTATTTATTATTATTATTATTATTATTAATTATTATTATTTTTATTATTATTATTATTATTATTTATTATTATTATTATTAATATTATTATTATTATTATTAATATTATTGAATTCTTAGCGTGTGTTAAACCCATGAGGGTTTAACCATTTCCATGGTCAGGTTTGACCATGGAAATGGAAGGTAACTTTAATTCCTTAGATCAAAAGCCTCTCACGAGTATCAAGACACGTGTCTTGAAGGGAGAACTTTTCGTTACTACACATATCAGTAAGAAAATTTATTACGGTGTTCTTTAGTACCGAATATTTACTATATTGTGCCGAATGGGTAAAATTTGTCAATTAATAAGAACTCATTTAAAATTAAGTCCTTTCTAAAATTTTCTTCAGTACTTTTAAAGATATATATTTTTTCATTTATGTTAATGTAAAAATTAATAATTTTGTGCCAAAAGAACCTTGGAAAGCTTTCCTAACCTTATTAAAAGAAGCGAAATTTAATTTAGCATACTCCAACTAAATATATTTTAGATAAGTTTTCAATAATTTAATAATAAACAAACACAATAAAATATTTTTTTTTTCGTTAGGTTCAGAATGATTTTTGCGAAATTATTGCAATCACAAATTTTCGCTTGTATTATTCGGTAAGAAGAGCGTTGCTATTTATGAGAAAATCGCAAGTTTTATGTATTAGGCACGACACACACACACACACACATACACACACACACACACACACACACACACACAACACACCACACACACATACACACACACACACACACACACACACACACATATACACACACACACAAAAACACACACATGTACACACACACCACACACACACACACACACACACACACACACACACATACACACACACACACACACACAACACATACACACACACACAAAAACACACACATCTGTACACACACACACACACACACACACACACACACACACACACACACACACACACACACACACAAACACACACACACACAAAACACACACATGTACACACACACACACACACACACACACACACACAACACACACATACACACACACACACGCACACACACACATCACACACACACACACACACCACACATACACACACCTGGAACGGAACAGGAGTATAAATGCAACCAGCACGGAATTCACGGAAGGCAAATCCTGTGTCACAAACCTTCTGGAGTTTTATGATAAAATAACAGAAGTAAGACAAGAGAGAGAGGGTGGGTTGATTGCAATCTTCTTGGACTGCAAGAAGGCCTTTGACACAGTTTCTCACAAGAGATTAGTACAGAAGCTAGAGCATCAGGCGATATAACAGGAAGGGCCACCCCCCCAATTGATCAGAGAATACCTGACAGGGAGGCAAACAACGAGCAAAGGTACGTAATGATGTATCACAGTGGGCACCTGTGACGAGCTGGGTCCCACAGGGGTCGGTCCTAGGACCAGTGCTATTTTTGGTATATGTGAACGACATGACGAAGGGTTAGACTCAGAAGTGTCCCTGTTTGCAGATGATGTGAAGTTAATGAGGAGAATTAAAATCTGATGAGGACCAGGCAGGACTTCAAAGAGACCTGGACAGACTGGACACCTGGTCCAGCAAATGGCTTCTCGAATTTAATCCTGCCAAATGCAAAGTCATGAAGATAGGGGAAGGGCACAGAAGACCACAGACCAGAGTATAGGCTAGGTGGCCAAAGACTGCAAACCTCACTCAAGGAGAAAGATCTTGGGGTGAGTATAACACCGAGCATGTCTCCGGAAGCCACATCAATCAGATAACTGCTGCAGCATATGGGCGCCTGGCAAACCTGAAAAACAGCATTCCGATACCTTAGTAAGGAATCATTAAAGGGACATGTACACCGTGTAGTCAGGCCCATACTGGAGTATGCAGCACCTGTTTGGAACCCACACTTGATAAAGCACGTCAAAAAAACTAGAGAAAGTAAAAAGGGTTTTGGGCGAAAAGGTTAGTTCCAGAGCTAAGGGAATGTCCTATGAGGAAAGATTAAGGGAAATCGGCCTGACCACACTGGAGGACAGGAGGGTCAGGGGAGACATGAAACGACATATAAAATACTGGTGGAATAGACAAGGTGGACAAAGACAGGATGTTCAAGGGAGGGGACACAGAAACAAGAGGCCACAATTGGAAGTTGAAGACACAAATGAGCAGAGAATAGTAGGAAGTATTTCTTTCCCATCCATAGAGTTGTAAGGC